AAAAAAAAAAAAAAAAAAAAAACTCTAATTGGCATGGATAAAAGTTAACACCTACATAGAATAATATGGAAAATCATAAAGTGACACATTGAATACAAAGTACCACAACTGATACATAGGATTACGAAGAACGAAACATATTAGTCAAACATCTTTGTAATAAATTGTTCGATTTACACCATTTTGTTAAGAAGATCATTTAGAATGGTGTATATAAGATCATCCAAAATCTACTCAAACGCTATAAATAAGATCGCCTTCGCGTTCTGTTCACTAAGACACAAAACTTCATCAACTGTTATAGTTGCAGAGATTGATCAATCTACAAAACATGAGCAATACCGCCAAGGAAGTTATGAAGAAGGTATGTATTTGTACATTTGATATGTTTTCATTTACATAAAACTTAAATGAAATGGCTATTGTCGAGTAAAGATTGTTTCGTGCGATTTCTATGTGAGATTCACTCTATGTATTTATATTCATACTTGGTTATTTGTTTCTTCTGCAGATTGATGATATAATACAACAACGCATTTGCCCGAAATGGATCGAGAGCTTTTTGGAGAAGACTTTTTTCGAAAAATGCCCGAGTCATAATTTGGGAAAGAATGAATTAAACAGGTACTGCATAACTTGCGACGAATCATTTTGCAGGCACTGTATCACATATGGTTGTCACAAGGACCATGACATAATCCCCATCAATAGATATACCTACCAAAATGCAGTTCCTCTTAATGAGATGGAAGTTCACATTGATTGTCAAAATATTCAGGTAAAAATAAGTTTTTTTTTTTTTTAATTTATTTATTATTATTTTTTTTTGGTAAGCCTAGTCAAATATTTCATATTTTTCTATATATGGTGTTTGATTTTATATTTTTAATTCGCACGCTCACAAGCACACGCGCACGCACGTACAAATGTATTTTTCTTAATATATGTATGGTTTATTGAACAACTTTACTTAACCGGTGAATTAAAATTTAATTTCAGGTGTACAAATGTAACAGTAAGCCGGTTCTATGTTTGAACACAATTCGTCATATCGACTCTTGTTCACTTACCGATGGCAACGGAAAGTGCCATGTTTGCGAAAGAAAGCTAACAAATCCAAACCGATTTCAATTTTGCTCAATTGCATGCAAGGTTAATTATGTATCTTGATTCATATGGTACTCGAATATGTATATAGTTTTTTTTTATCTAAATATGTATATTACATTTCTCGGTTCAGATTCAAGCAGTTACAGGGTCGATTCATTTTCTTGCACTTTTGGATGAGGTCGAAGAACCGATTAATCCATCAAAACGCAAACGAAGTAGGAAAGGAGTGCCAACAAGGGCACCATTTCTCTAAAGCAGCTACTCTTTGATGCTTCATGGAAGTTTAGCTTATACGTGCTTAAGGATTATTGAATTTTGAAATACTCTGTTTTCATACTTTTGTATACGACTTTGCGGTTCCACTATGAAGCCAACAGTTGGCTCCATAGTAGAATCAACCGTACGACTTTGTTAGTCATATGTTTGTAAAACTATGGCTCTTTCTGTTTTCGATTGTGCGCTTTTTGTGCTCTTAATTTTATTAAGTTTTGAAACCGTTTTCTTAGTGCATGATTTGTGCAAATGTTGAGAGTATTAAAGCGCAGATTTTGTATAAAAAATAAACCAAAATTTTTATGCAGATTTTGTATAAAAAATAAAGCAAAATTTGCACTACGTATGAAAATTTATTAAATCTTATCTGCACTTGATTTGTTATAAATTTGCGATACCCAGATGGCTAATTTAACAAATTATACAATAGATGGCACAACAAGTGGATTTAGTGATCAGACCACAAATATCGGGCTGCTATACAATTACCTGATATTAGGCCCAATAACTATAAAAGGAAGCCCAGTGATTTTAGATACTAATTCAGGCATTATTAGAGGTGGTTGGATATAAGTTATTTTGGATTTGATTGAATTTGTGGAATAACCAAGTTAATTTTTGAAAAAAATTGGTTTAGTTAGATTTGAGTGAGATTTTGAGTTTTATTAAAATATTATTTAAATATAATGAGAATTTGATTTGATTAAAAGTAAGAGAGATGATTAGAAGTTACGTGTAGTTCAAATTGTATGAGTGAATGAATAAAAAATTAAAGTTGATATGATGCGTGATGATAATTGATTGATATTATTAAATTATATTGATGGGGACTAGATATTCTATAGCAACACCATGTGTATATCATGGGGACCAATGATTGCAAATCCACATTACTGGGTAAAGATCTATAGTCGGGTCATCGAGTTAACAGCATAATCGAGAAATTAATTTTAAAAAATCAAAAATAATTTATACCACTTTTTCAATAAATAATATTGAGATAAAAAAAAAAACAAAATAAAACAATTCACATATAAATACTATACCTCAAATCTTAGTATTAATTATCTCTCACCATAGATATATGCCATATAGATACATGTATATATATATATATATATATATATTCTAAAATTTTAAAAACAAAAAATATATACAAATATAAAAGAAATATTGGGTCGATCGATTTGACTTGATCGTGTTATGCCCAAGTCCATCACAGTGCTACTATGGTGCACCTTGACACACCTTGCAGTTTAAAATGAACATGTTACTTTATAAAAGGAGCATGTGTAAACATGTTTACACATGTTCATTTTATAAAAAAATATGTTCATTTTAAAAAAGGTTTAGCACACTTTGCTAGGTGTGCCAGGGCGCACCTAAATATTTGCGAGTCCATCGAGCATATGTGTACCAAATATGTCAATATTTAGGCCGACCGCAAAACGGTCCCAACACCCGAACTAAGTTCAGCCATAGGACAGCCGATTCCGAAAATAGTAACGGAGACAAATTTGCCTGAATAAAAATAAAATAAAACATAGGGTTTACTCTAAATTGTTGTCATCTTCACAAATCAAAATACCTAACAGCCGTCAACGCGGTCATCCCACATTTTATTACGGATTATATAAACTTAAACATCCCTCTCGAGGAGACTTGTGAAAAATCATACTATAAATTCATCAAATGTTAGCCTTTAATTTAGGATTACGATTAGTGGTGTTGCTATGAAGCCAACATTTGGCTCTATAATAAAGCCAACTTTCTATATACAATAAGTAAACCTACCATATTATCTGATTACTCAAATAACACTAATATAATTTTATGAATATGGTATGATTTACTTGTTGTATATAGAAGGTTGACTCCACTATAGAGCCAACAACTGTTGACTTCAAAGCAAAATCGATTACAATTAGACACAAAATTGTTGATAATTTTCAGAAAAGTACAAATCAGGAAGACTTTACACCGAAAGAGAAGATATTTGTGTGGTCACTTTTTTTCATTTTCTTTTTCCAAAGTTGTGAAGAGATGTGAAAGAGTGGATGAGGGCATTTGTGTCAATATTGGAAAGTTCCATTAGAGCACGGCAAAGAAAGTGGTTAAGTAACCTTAATCGTGATTACACTTGTCCTCAACTTAGCCATGCATTTTAATTTTTACTTATTTTTTACTTTTTATTTTTATATTTTTAGTTTCTTATTATATAATTCATCTTCCAAAAGACCCTCATTGCTATTGGTTTTTCAGTTGCAATTTTGAGGCCGCTTTGTTGAGTGCTTGGGGGGCACTACTTGTTTACTAATATTTTTTAAAGACAAGAGGGGTAGCTTATTGTATCACACTTAAAGATTTCAAGTCAACATTATTACTTTGTAAGACCATACTACCTAGCTAATACAATATAATATAACCAAGAGCGCTTGGATGAGATGGTTTGAGTCTCTTCCAGCTTAATTAGTGGTCTCGTGTTCGAGCCCTGGGAATGCAACAGTGTTAAAACTCTTGAGGGAGAGCTTTGCCGCCCTTGTGCTCCTACCCGGCTCGATTCCGGATTAGTCGGTTCCCCTGTGGATCCGGAAACCAGAAGGTCCCTGTACCAAAAAAAAAAAAATACAATATAATATAAAAGGATAAATAAATGAGTAATGTTATAGGTACATATATAATAGTGTATATAGACGTGTACATAACACTCACATTAAGTGGGTCATGCTAAA